TGGTAGCACGCGTCCAGGAGGGCGTTGAACAGCACCTCGTCTGCCTCCCCCGGATGGTCGAGCATGAACTGCTCGACGGCCCCGATGCCCTGGTAGAGTGTCGCCCTGTTCACGGGCCCGCGCCCGTCGGCCACGGTCTTCATCAGGAGCCTCGAGATGGTGAAGCGGGTGATCGGATGCCCCTGCTGGCGCATCCGATCCAGCATGTCCCATGCTCGGAAGAAGAAAAGGGCCAGCATCAGCACATAAACTTTCGGAGCTCTGCGCGGGCCTCTTGCATGCACGCCGCCCAGGCGCGCGGAGCGCGCCAGGGCGGCGGCGCCGGAGTGCTGACCCAGGAGATTCGCGCAGACCTCCGAACGTTTGTGCCCGTGCCGGCGTTTCCTCCTTCGGATGCCGCAGCGGCGCCCTGGGAGCGTGCGCACTCCTCGAGGTGGCACTGGGCAGGGCCTCCGGGCTGCCGAGGCTTTGCGGTCGAAGCAGCCGTCGAAGCAGCCATACTTAAATTACTTGAGAAAAGCCCCGCCGCCGCGCTTTGCCACGGCCAGTGCACGTCGACACCTTTGCAGCTTCCGCTGGCCAAAGAGGAGCAGCGCAGTAGAGACTTGAACTGGATGTTACTGATAAGCTCGGAGCGCATCACCACCGATGGGCCAGGAGTTTTCTTGGCTCGGTGCCGCGCGCCGCTCCGGGGCCTGTGGTTGCCCCTGTGGCCCGCAGATCTGCCTGGTTCTGCCTGGCTGGTTTGGCTGGAGCGACGCCAGTGTGCTCGGTTCTGCCTGGCTTGTTCGGCCTGATTTCCGCGGGGCTGGTTTGTTCTGCCTGGCTGGTTCTGCATGGATGCCGCGGATTTGTTCGGCTCCGCCTGGCTGGTACGGGAATCTATTTGACTGGTCCGGCCTGGATGCCGCAGCTATGCTTGGCCAAAGTCGGGAGTTTGCGCTCTTGGTTGGTTCGGCCCAGCCAGTTCTGCCAGGGTGTCTCGGATTGGCTTGGTTCTGCCTGGCTAGCTCGACCTGGCTGCTACGACTGGTTTTGGTTTCGCCTGGCTGGTTCGATCCGCGTGCTACGGGTTGGCTCGGTTCTGCCTGATTGGTTCGGCCCGAGTGCCGCAGATTGGCTTGGTTTCGCCTGTGCCTCGGGCTTGCCTGTTTTCGCCTGGTTGGTTCGGCCTGAGTGTCGCGGCTGGGCTTGGTTTCTACTAGTTGATTCGGCCTGGGTTCCGAGAATTGGCCCGGTTCCGCCCGGCGGGCTGACGACCAAGGTGCCACAGATTTGCTAGGTCCTGGGTTCCGCGGAGTGTCCCCAGACATGCGACGTCCTGATTTTTTCAATACGGCCGGCCCGGAAGCCCAGACCTTTTCCCCCGAGGCAGGCTTTTCATCCCGAGTCGTTTTTTGACGCTCCCGCGGCCCGGCGAGGGCCCCCAGGGGCCGAAAATACAGAAAAACGTGCCGTCCTGACGTTCTGATTTTTAACGACGCGATAATGCCTGGGTCTGGTTCCGCAGGGCCAACTCGGCCCGAGTGCACCGACTGGCCTGCTTCCGCCTGGCTCGTTCGACAAGGGTGCCGCACATTGGCTCGGCTCTGCCTGGTTGGCTCGGCCCGAGCGCCGCGGATCGATCACTCCTTCTTGGACAAGGGCTCTGCGCGGTGCAGGCTGTGCGGTGCAAGCTCTTCGGCCGCCCACGTGGGCGCCCACGAGGCGCCCGCGGGCGGCCACCAACTGGGCCCAAACATGCGACGCCCTGTTTTTTTCCAGGACGGCGCCCCCGGAAGTCCCGACCCCTGCCCCATGGGGACCGGCTTCTCGTCCCGCGGGTCGGTGTCTGATGGCCCCGGGGTCCGGCGGGGGCCTCCCGGGCCGAAAACAGCAAAAACCTTATGTCCTTTTTTGTTGAATAATAATAATAATTATATTTATTATTAGTTTTTATTATTATTGTTAATATTATTTTTATTAGTATTGATATTCGTAGTATTATTATTATTATTATTATCATCATTATTATTACTGATATTGCTACTTATTATTATTAGTATTAGTATTATTAATATTCGTATTATGATTATTATTAGTATTAGTATTATTATCACCATCATTATTATCATTCTTATTAGTAGTAGCGTTATTCTTCTTAGTATTGTTACTACGATTACGCTTACTATTATTATGTGTATTATTGCCATTATTAGTATTATAAGTATTGCCATCACTACTACTGTTATTATTACTCCTACTATTATTACTGTTGTGATTAATATTACTAAAGCCAGACTTATTTTTGTTATTATTACTACATGTATATATATATATATATATATATAAGACGCGAGCATGTCTGGGCCCACGAGGCGCCCGCGGGCGGCCACCAAGCGGCCACCAACTGGGCGCCCGGCGAAGCCCCGGCGCACGAAACGCGCCCGCCGAGCAGACAACCCCGGCGGCGCCAGCCCACGGCACGAGGCGGCCACGGGCGTCCGCGAGCCGAGGCCCCGGCAGCGCGCGAGCCAACGCTCGAGGCGGCCACGTGCGGCGCCCAGGCCCCCTATAGGCGGTAAAACGTTGGGCAATTGAGGCTCAGCGTTCGAAGTGTTAGACGCTGTTGCCGGGACTTGTGAAGAGTTGGTGGGCCCTGGCAGAGTGTTAACAAGGGTTACTAGTGGGTTACTTGAGATTGCTAACCTAATACAAGCGCACCAACGCGAAGCAAGGCGCGCGGTCAGCCCAGCTCGCGCTGTGACAAAAATCACGATGGGAGGTGTTTCCCTATCTTCGGCCCCTGAGGGAGCCTTGCCGGGCCTCAGGACCGTGATGAAACGACTCAGGATGAAAAGCCGGTCCCGGGGAATGGGTCCGGACCTCTGGGGGTCGCGTCAGGAAAAAATCACAACGTCGGGGGTCCGGGCCAGGGGCGCCCCCGACCGGCCGAAGACCTCGCCGCGCCAGCCAATTCCTCACAAGGCCAGCGTGGCGCTGGTAAGTGCAAGCGCTGCTCGGGGATAGAATGCGTACGCGGGCTCTGCGCTGCTTTGAAGCGCTGCTCCTGGCCCATGCGCCGGCTTCGTTCGGCTCCTTGCGAAGCGCGCTCACCCCCAAAAGCGCGGTAGCGGAATCGCGGCAGCGCACCAATGTAAATAGCCGGCGGGCAGGGCCTATATTTGAGGCCGGAACGGTTCGAGCCCAATCGGCCTCGGAGGGGGAGCAGCAGCAGCAGCAGCAACGAGAACACTAAACCACTGCTTTGCATGTGGGTGCGTCGTTCTCAAATCATGAAAAGCCCTTTGGGCGTATAAGTGGTTTGGTTTAGCAGATCAGCTCTTCCAGAACCCTTCGTGGCCTTCAACGAGGGCTTCACCCCTTCCCTTGCTCCCACGTCGCAACACACTCCCCTCGCCTGTGGACTGGGGGCGGCTGGCGGTCTGGGGGTTGCTTGGACAGGCCCTGGATTTGAGAGTTAAGGGGCAGTTTGAAAACTAGTTGAAGCTCCCTCGCGGTGCTCTTGGGACCCTCGTGGGGCATCTTGGAACCTTTGGGGCCCTCCCAGAACGGTTTTGGGACAGGTGTGAGCATCACTGTCTTGCCCAGGTGTGAGTCGCACTCTTTCGCCGAGTCTCGCATTCGAGGGTTTCGGGAGCCTCGAGCTCTTGGGCCCCCCTGAAAATTCTCTCGGGATGCTCTTCGGGCCCTCTTCGTCCTCTTGGGGCCACCTTGCTGCCTAAGAGGCCCCTCGGGAGCGAAAGCAGCGAAGGGCGGAAGACGATGACAGCACGCCTGGTGCTTCGACTCTTTGCCATCTGGGGCCAACGCGGCCCATCGGGCGCGATCTCGGAGGCCGGCTTTGCCTCGCCTCATCCATTTTGGCCTGGCCCACGACGAGAGCCGCGGGCGCACTGGTCCACGATTCCCGGCGGGGGGAAGGGGCCCGCCCGCTATACGCTGTACTCTGGGAGGCGTCCTCCCCAGGGACGCCCCCCCTCCAAGACAGCGTCCAGGATGGCTCCAAGGCGGCCCCTGCCAGCCCAAGTCTGCGTCCCAGATCTTGCAGGGTGGTTCAGCTTGGCTCAGGATTACCTGCAGCATGCGCCCAAGGGGCCGCAAGACCACCGCAAGACGGCCCCAAGTGGCCATGGAGCCACGGAGCCTCGAGAAGCCACACGCGTCAATCAATTTCAAGCTGTTGAATGAGTTGTGCCTCCTCGATCCTCGCTGTCGAACATCCCTTGAGGCATCCAGATGTCCACAAGGTGGCCGAGGAGTGCCCCAAGAGAGCTCTATCCAAGAACATCTCAAGAAGGCCCCAGAGCTCCCCAAGCGGCCTCTGTCAGAGCTCCCAGAACGACGGCGCCTTTCTTGCCCTTGTGGTCTCCCGTATGGTATCCCTGTCGGCACTCTCTACAATACTCTCTACACGACACTTCGCTTTCTATAGTGCTGTATGCCGTGATCTCTCACATGCTGTGAGGAGCCGTTGAGGATCCTCTGCCGCCAAGGGTGTCCTCTGGCAGCGCAGAAGTTCATCGCGCCGTGCAGAATGCGACTTAGAGGGGGCAAGGTTTCTTAACCTCTTGGTTGGATTTACTCATCTAACGGCATCTCGTCTGTGAGCAGATTCTGGATGGATACGCGATGCGTCAAGAATTCACGGTTGATATTCGGGGCGACATCGTGTGAAAGCTCACTTGGAATCCCTGACCGTGCGGGCTGATGGCGCAAGCCTGCGGAGCTTGCGCCATGGCCCCTGATCCGACGATCAATGCGCACGTGTCCAGGGGCAGGGTGAGACGAGTGCAGCGTGAGACCTGACCTTCAGTCAGTGGGTGCGGGGGCGGGCGAAAAGACAGGGTTGAGCGGAGTGGGGTGGAGGAGGAGGAGGAGGAGGAGGAGGAGGAGGAGGAGGAGGGGGACGAGAGGCGCTGAAAGAGGGGCTGAAGCAGGAAGAAACGTCGGCGGTGCTTCTATCCTCCACATGTGCACACTAATGCTTTCAGGCAGGCCTGTCTGTGATCTTGTACTTGACACGGAACTGCCTGTTGACCGAGGCGATGAATGGCACGATCCCGATGACCACGAGGCAAGACAGGAGAGGGGCAAATACCTGGGCGTCGCGCGCCTCGGGCACTGCACTGCAACAACCAGCGCTCGATGAATAGGGGACAGAGAGAGCCATACATACGAATATAGAGAGACGGCGAGGACAAAAACAACAGAAAGCATCTTCTCCCTACAGCCACGAGGCATCTGTTCCCTTTCCCTCTCCCGCGGGAGCAGCTCGGCGCCCCCCAGTGGGCAAGAGCGGGCTTCAAATCCGCCACGGTGCCTTCGCTATGCCGGGGGGCGTGCTGAGATGCCCGAGCTTTCTGCAGCGGCCTCTCCGGCTACCTGGGGGCCACCCGCATCGCCGCCAAGGTCTCCGACAAAACATCGCCCACCCCAGCCCCAAGGCGTTGCCCCCCCGACCGCGAGACGGCCCCGGGGAGGGCCCCAGGCTTGGCCCAACAGGGCCTGGACTCCAGAGGCCGGGTGATGTCCCCAGGAAGGCCCCCGAGAGCTCTCTGGCCGTGCACCCAGAGATCTCCCGCGACCTCGTGCCAGGCGAGTCGCAGGCAGTCTTGAGAGGAGGAGGGCGAGTGGGAGGGGGAGGAGGAGGAGGAGGAGGAGGAGGAGGAGGAGGAGGAGGAGGAGGAGGAGAAGGAGGAGGAGGAGGAGAAGGAGGAGGAGGAGGGGGAGGGGGAGGAGGGAGGAAGAGGAGGAGGGAGGAAGAAGAGGAGGAGAAGGAGGGAGGAGGAGGGAGGAGGAAGAGGAGGGACGTAGAGGACCGGCATACATCCAGCATGCAACAACAATGCTGTAATACTCACTCCCATCCCAAGTCCCTTCACACCAACCCCTACATGCATTTTGTTTTACCAGCGGGCCGATGCAATAACGAGTAACAACCGATGAACGATTGGCATAATGACTCGAGAACGGAAGGAACGTAAAGGCGATCGGCAGATATCAGGCGGCGCCCCAAGTCAGCCGACTCTGTCTCAAGACCGGCCGCCTCCAGAGGACTACATGCATTCCACTTCACTGCGGAAAGACGAGTTCACCACGGGCCTGCCATTCAGGCGAGAGCCCTGTTTTGAACAGCAGCTGCCCTGAGGAATGCGATAGGAACAGGAAGTTCAAGGAAGTGTCCAGTGGGAACCCTGTGTTGAAAAGAGAACGCCTTCCATCAGTATACCTGGTGCACAATGCGACACGTTGGGACCTAATGTTCGAGCAAGTCTCAAGACGTAACCCTGTGTTGAAAAGGAACGAACCTCGATCCTTGTAGCCTATGCGCGATGTTGCACGTCGGGCCGTACATGCTGGAGAATGTTTGAGCGACTGTCTCTTTTTCATTTCACTAAAAAAACGACCTCCATCCTGACAGCTGTCAGATGTTCTATACTTCGGCGAGAAGAAATCAAACGGTAGTCCCATTTTGAAAACGAATCGCTCTCCATACTTCTGACTGTTGGATAATTGCTCGACAAATTCACTCGGCGCTAAAACGATAACCACATGTTGCTAACGAAACGCCCTCTAGGTGTGCGATTGTTTACTAACCGGCTCACGACGAATGTGCGCGGCACTTGGGCGAGAGCCGTACTTTTGGAATCCACCCACCCTTCAGGCGTGCAGTTGTCGAGGACTGTAAACTTCGGAAACATACGTGGTGAAGGGAAGTCTCGAGCGAAACGCTGCGACCGCCCTGCCGACACGCAGGGTGGTGCGACGAGGAGTACTACTTCTGAGGGAGACGGACGGAAGCGGGGAGGAAGAGGAGCAGCAGCGACAGCGGGAGAAAGAGGCGGACGAGGAGGGAGGAGGGGGAGACGGAGGGAGGGGGGGTGAGGGACAAAGGAGGGCAGCGATGCAATTACGAAGGATGTTTAACATCTGCTTACGCGACTGCAGCCCACATCCACCACCAGACGAGGGGGAGCCCTCTGGGGGATGGCTATGACTTCCGCAAACATACAGCGAAAACAGGCCAAGCAGAGGAGCCAAGAGAGGCTCGCACGCGGCTGCACTGAGACGAGGGCGACCGCGAAACAGGCAGAACTGCGAGGCACCTGACCCAAACGAGGACGGCGGGCGTGAAGACAAGCCCCTCACGGGACTGCACTGAGACGAGGGCGAACGTGAAGCAGGAACGGCTGCGAGGCGCCCAAACCAGACAGAACTGACGGACGCGAAGGAAAACGCACAGAGGCGCCAGACTCAGCCGGAGCTCGACTCCGCGTCTCCATCCGTGGCTTGCTGACCAAGCATGGAGGGCGCTGCTCCCGTGGCTGCCTGCTCAAGGCGCAAGGCACGCGCCAGGATCATCCTCCGCCTCCTCTGAGTATCGCTTATCCGATCCCCATCCCCAGCGGCGTGGCCTGGGCCCCACTGGCCGATTTACCCCTCTAGATGGGGATATAGGTCGTTCCCTTCGGGTTTCGAGGGGTGTATCCCCAACTGGGGTGGTAATTTGGTGGGGGTCTCGAAGAGGATGGGGATGGGGATGGGGATCGGATAAACGATACAGTCGGGGCGTTGACCTAAGGAACCCTAAATAAGGAACGGGGCCCCTTTCTCCCATAAGTTGAACTTCGATTTCCCATGAAAAACCTCAGGAAAACAGAAGGCAATATGTCGAACAATCAAGGAACACCGAGCCCCTCCCCAACGAAAAGGGTTCCTTCTCCAGGACCCCGGCTGTACTGATCCTCGGGGGCGGGGAGCTCAGAAGAAGGAGGGGGCAGGTCAACAGAGTGAAATTCCACTCGGGGATTATTCTCCCTCGGGTGCCCACCAGCTCACGCCTGTCTCGGTGGTCTTACCGCGGGGCCTGAGGCGGCCTGGGCACTCGGCCGCCAGCCGGCTGTTAACACACGCACCACGGTGTAACAAAAACGCCGCGCACAAAAACACGGGTAGCAATCCGCGCCATAACAACGAGAGAATGCGACGACTTTGTGCCGCAAGCTGTCAGCTGTGCCGAGGTTCCTGCGCACAAGCTCCTGGAGAGCACCTGCCAGTGGGGCCTCGGCGGCTGTGCGGGAGCCTGCGAAGCAAACGGGGCGCCTCCAGAACCTCCCCAGCCTTTCCCGCCGCTGGGGGATCGGCAGAGGCTGAGCGACTGCAGCACCGGGGCACCTGCTGAACTCACACTCTGGCCAGTTCGAGCGAGGGCACTTCGGGAGCAGCTCGGCGGCCAGGCGGCACCACGGACTTGGCGACAGCTATCCCGCGGTCAAGCCCAGCGTCCGCCGGCGAAGGCCGAGGGCGACGCGCCGCCCTGGCCCTGTCCGCCGGGTCGGCGTGCGAATTGCCTTGCCGCCCCACTTTCTCACGCTCGGGGGTCCCTCTGTTCCTCCGGGTCCAGGGGCGCCTTCGCCTTGGATGCTCTCCGCAGGAGGGGGCAGCTGTTGACAGATTGGAGCGCTCCTGAGCATGACGACCGCGGCGCAGTCCGAAAATCCTCCAAACTCTCCGCGTACAGGCAAACTAGCCATCCCTGATGCTGAAAACTGTGCTGAAAGCCCGCTCTGCGGCAGATGAGGCACGCAAAGGGCCGTGGATCAAAGACAGAAGGACGCCGCCATCTCCAACGCGGCAAAGTCCCCAACTGGCTCGGCTCAGGTTGGATGTTTGAAACACGGCCCGTCGAAACACAGCTTACCCCCCGCAATCTCCGTTCTCGCCGCTAAGGGAACCATCCGATTAAAAGCCGTTCTGGCTCAGACCTGCTTCAGGTGCTGGGCTTGCAGCAGCAGGATTCAGAGCGGCAGTCGCTGCTGCGAGTCATCGTCCTTTGTGGCTACAGGTTTCAGGCCTTGCACAGGCCCCAGTATACTCGCCCAGTCCCTGGGCTTCCATGGCAAATGGCGGAGGCGGAGCTGGAGAAGTTCTGGCTGGCCCCCGCTCTCCCACTTGGACATGCGGCGCTTGCGGGAGGAACGCGAATTGGGCGTGCCGCATCGCATGTATATGTGGTGAGCGCGCACCAGCAGATGTGGTTCGCCGTGCTCGTGAGCGTGCTGGCGGTGCTTCTGAGCGTGGGCCTCCTCGGCGCCGCGCACCAGCAGGAGCCGACCCTCTCCAGCAAAAGATCGACGCACTTCAGAAGAAGTACGATGCTCTGGTGGCCAAGAGCAATGGGGCTACCCCGCCTGCGGCCGCCTCTTCCACGACTAACAAGGAGCAGTCCCCCGCAGACAAGCTCAAGGAGAAGATCAAGCAGCTGGAGAGCTCGCTGTCCGCGTGCAAGTCGCTGCCTGATGAAGTCGGTAAGGAAGCGTGTGAGTCTTTGGAGAAGCAGTTGGTGGACGCCCGCAAACTTTTGGCGGCGACGAAGCCTGAGCTCACTCAGCATACTAACGTCGGACATCGGCTTTCTCGTGCGACGACACGCAAGAGCAAGCTTGAGCAGCAGGTTTCCGAGCAGCTGGAGATCATACGAGCAGCCGAGGAACGCACGGATACCCTTCGTGCGCAGATCAAGGCAGCAGAAGAGGAGATACTGTTGCTTAATCGTGAACTGGTCGACACGTTACCATTGGCGCCCAAGGTCAATCTGGAGGTCGATCCTAACGTCTTGGCACAGCATCCTCAAGCAGCAGTTCTCAAGACGTTCATGGAGTCAGAAACGTTCAAGCTCTTCGCCGAGGTCCTGGGCGAGAGCATCAAGGCCCGTGAGCCTCCCAAGCCAGCGACAGCTGCCTCACCGTTCACTGCCTCAGCTGGTGGTGCGAGTCAGGCTCATGGCAGCGATGCTGGTGCTAGCGGGTCAGGGGATGGTCGCGACAGATCCGATGCAGATGCAGGTGGAGTTGGAGTTCGCGTCCCCGATGACATGGAGCTTGACGACCTCGACGACACTACCATCGACAGCATCCTCACCGCTGCTAGAGAGGAGGGTTTTGACAAGAGTACCTTTTCTGAGCGGTTTGGCGGTCAGCTACGCCGAGTCAAGCCGCGTGTTTAACCAGAGCCAGCCTCTTTGCTGCGGTCTTAGGCTTTCTAAATTCGGAGTTCCTGCTCCACCTCAACCCCCTCCATTCCTTCGACTCCGCAGTCCTCAGAGCTCGATGGCCTGGGTATCTGCTTCGAAACGTACAGTGGCAACTGTTGGTCTACGTTACGGGACCGTCTGAGGAGATCGTCGGCTAGTATACTACTGGCGCAGGAGGTGGGCTTCCTCCAGGAGCGAGAGGGTGAAAAAGCTAGCTCTGCGGGGGCCCTGGGATGGAAAATGCGTTCGTCCCCATCCCTCCCTGGGGAGGGCAACCGAACCAGGGCTGGGGTGGCGGTCTTCGTTCGCTCACACCTTGGCCTTAGATGGCCTGCGGATCGGAAGGGTATCTTGTATCCTGGTAGGCTGATTCACGTTGTCGTTGATTTGCCAGGATGGCCCCCTCTGCAAGTGGTGTGCGGATATCTCAAGAGTGGCACTGGAATGTGCAAGTTGAATATCCAGTTGCTTCGTCTCATGGGAGAACGTCTCCAGGGTGAACACATGTTTTTGGCTGGTTGCGACTGGAATCTCGACCCCGGCTTAGTTGACTCTTCAGGTGTGTGTCGTCGTACGGGGGGAGCGTTGTTTGTTCCCAGCCAGAAAACCTGCCTCTCCCCGCACAGTCTCTCTACGATTGATTACTTCTTGGTGAGTTCTGGCCTTGCGAAGGCCACCGACGGGGTCCAAGCGGAACTGGAGTGGACCGATAGACCCCACCGCCCCGTTGCTTTGAAACTCAAGGATGATGCTGTTCGATGTTATCAGTTGCAGCATCGAGCCCATCAGCGTCTTCCCACTAGTCTGCCCATAGGACCTGTGCCACAACCGCAGGACTGGCGCCTCGCTCGGGGGATCGCTGAGGCCGCAGCCGGGGCTGCTCTAGAGGCTCCTGTCGGTCAGGCGTGGGCTTTGCTTTCTGTTGCGCGGCAGCACTTCGCCAACACCTTCGAGCTTGAGCTCGAGAGCTACACGGGAGAGGTTGTGAGGAGTAAAGGTTTTCGAGGCGATTATCTGAAACCCAAATGGGTCCCGATTTTTGCCAAGCCCCGTGCTTTAGAAATGCTTTCGGTCTCTCGGGGATGGATTTGGCTGGCCCAGCACCTCTGTGAAACGGTGGGGGCCGCTGCGAGGCTCCAGCAGGCCCACATGAGGGCCGCCGAGGACCCCGATGGATTTGAGGACATCACGGCCCGTGATCAGATGCTTCAGGATGTTCAGCTCCAAATTCAGCAGCTTTTAGGTCTTCCTTGCCCAGGAGAAGGAGGCGACATACGCCTTGATTCGACTCTGCGGCAGGCACGCAGCCTGGCAAGCAAGTTCCCCTCGTCAGGCCCTTTGAATGGCTGGTGCGACGAGTGCCAGGAATTCTTACAGTCGTGGGAGGACGACCTCCTCTCGGCCAAGCAGGCTATTGTTAAGCAGCAGCAGGACAGCTGGGATCAATGGCAGGAGCAGGCTTTGGAAGGAGGGGCTAGAGGGATGCATCGCCTTACTAAGTTAAAAGCCAAGTGGAATCCCACCGTGGTCCAGACCTCTCCTGGAGTTTTCAGCAGTAACCCCCAGCTCCTCCTTCGACGTGAAGGTGAGGAACTGGCTAAGTTTTGGCACGCGTCTCATGTGCCTCCTGAAGTTTGCGTGCCCGACCGTGTCCACCTGCCTCGGCCGACGGCTGCTGAGCTTAGGAGTGCGTCGAGCAGTTTCAGTCATCACACGTCCCAATCCCTTGATGGATTTCACCCTCGTCACTTCAGCCTCGGGTCGGACGCGGCTCTTGAAACTTTCGCGGCGCTGGTTCACGCGATTGAGTCCCTGGGCCTCTTCCCTAAACAACTGTTTTGGCTCCTCTTTCCCTTGCTTGAAAAACCGAAAGGGGGCCTGAAGCCCATTTTGTTATGTGCGGGACCCGTTCGTGTTTGGGAGAGATTGCGGCGCCCCGCCATTGTAGATTTCAACGACAGGTATCCTCGCAAGTATTGGGCCTTCGGACCAGGTAGGAGTGCTTAGGATGCTGTGTGGCATCAGGCCGTTCGGGCCGAGGTAGCGCACCATGATGATAAGGTTACGGGGGGATTCATATGGGATGGGACTAAGTATTAGGAGTCCTTCGATCTCTCCGTGCTGAGACAGCGAGCATTCGATTATGGCATCGATGCTACGATAGTGAAGACGACGTGTAATTATTGGCGAGGCCCGCGTCTGTTGCGGCTTGGAGCCCAGTATGCTACTGTGCCCTACTTCGCCTCTTCGGGCTTACCTGCTGGAGATATCTTTAACGATGTCTTCGTTCGCGTCTATAGCATCGAGGCCTTTGATAAGTTCGTTGGCAGCCATAGAGCTGTGTGGTTATCCTCTTACGTTGACGGCGATAGTGTGACGACGGAGGGGACGGAGGATGAGGTGATTAGCAACGTTATCCGAGCAGCAGCAGCTTTGTTCATCATCTTTAAAGATGAGCTTCGTGTGGCTGTGCATCCTGACAAAGTTTGCACGTTTGGTAGTTCGCTCACGCTGGCCAAGAGCATTGCACGACATCTGGGGCACATGTCAGGCCAAGTATCTAACAGTGTGGTTTCACTTGGTACCGATCTTGCTCCTGGCCAGCGTCGTTCGGCACATAGAGCACTGTGGAGACGACGGACCCGCCTTCGTGATATGTGGCGGCGGTACCGCGTTCTCCAGCGATATCGTCATGCCCTCCCTCGACAGAAAGGTCGTATCGGGAAAATATAGGTCGCTGGAGTTTTGCCTGCGGCCAGTTTTGGATCGGGGGTGATGGGTATGAGCAACCGCGAACTCCAGCAGGCTCGACGGGTCCTCTTAGCCTACAAGCCCCCTCGTCACCAAGGTTGCCCCCTGCACGCCAAGCTCGCCATTCTAGGCGAACCTGTGTGGCGCGCTGCGGTTGCCCCTGTGCTTCACTGGGCAGGAGTCGTGTGGACGGCGATCACGTGTCCGCAAATATCCCAGTACACGGTTAAGGATTTGCGCCTTATCTGGCGCACGATACCCTTCGATGATGATGTCACCTGGCGGTCCTCTAGGGGACCTGTGCAGCGCATGCATCTCAGCCTTCATAGACTGGGGTGGGTTTCTACGTCGGCTTTGACCCTTCGGGATGATAAGGAGAGAGAAATACACTTAGGTTACACCTCCCCTTCTATGCTCGCGCACCTCCTGGATCTCGCTTCCCAGAGGGCCCACGAGAGGGCCCTGGCCGAGCACGCGCCTGGCTTCGGTGGTGATCGCGTTTGTGTTGAGCCCCTCAAGAAAATTCTGGGGCCCCAAGGGAAAGGCCTTAGCCCTCGGGAAAAATACCTGGCTCTCACCTGTTTTTGTAAGGGAGTGTGGACTCGTACGCGGGCTCGCGCCTGCGGGTACCAGGCTGACGGCTTGTGCCCTCTTTGCGGGCAGACCGGCAGCGTGAGACACCGACTTTGGCAGTGCATGCACCCGACGGCGGCCGCGGCACGAGCCGAAGCGCTTGACGGAGCGCCCGTCGAATGGCATGCGGAGGCTCTTGAGAGTGAGGACCGTCTTTTCTTTGATGAGATGAAATGGCCTCATCCCGAAGCCTCGTACCTTCCCCCCTCCCCCGAACCTAACCCACAACTGTGCGATGCCTCGGGTGCTGCTGTGCCTTGGGACGCGATCGACCTGAAGGGGCTTGATGTGTGCGTGGGCGGTTCGGCCAGCAGACATTGTATCCGTGAGCTTTCGCGGGCCTCCTACTCCTGGATCTTTCTGGGGCCCCGACCCAATGGAATTGTTGCTGCTGCTCGTGGCACCGTCCTGGACACCCTCCCTCAAGCATCACAGGCCGCGGAACATCAGGCGATGGCTTTGCTTCCCATGTTCCAGCAGCTCGGGGGAAACAGGTACGGGGACAGCCTGACCGTCGTCAAGTTATGCCGTGCGGACCCCATGCATCAAGCTTCTAGGAAGCATCGTTACGCTGGTCTGCGTCGTGGATCGTTGCTGCATGAAGTCGCTGGCCATGCACCCGTTGTCTCTCACACGCCAACACACCGACAGTTGGCTACGATTGACGCTTTGCCAGAGGATGAACGTCGTATCGGCTTGGGAAACTGGCATGCAGATGCTCAGGCCAGAACAGCTCTCCTCTCTCACCCCCAACCCCCACTGAATGAAAGAGAGGAGGTGGACAGGAAATGCAAACTACTGCGCATCGTTGCACGTGTTTGTGGAAAGGTCCTTTCGGCCTTCCCTCATGAGAAATTCGATCGCATCAACTTTGGTCCTAGGTCCAAGTTTTTTAAAACCCGGGGGCTGGCATGCGTGGCAGGACCTCGAACAAGGCAGGTCGCGATGCTTGCATTGTCTTGCTTTATGGACCGACCCGCTTTCCAGACCCATGCTTGGGTGCAAAGGCATGAGTAGCACGTGGCGTAAAACATTAGACGTCAGTCTTGGCCATACTCTTGCCCACTGTCGCGTCACAAGAGGCGAGGCCGAGAAAACACTGTTCTTTTGCATCGTGTGCGGAGCGTACACCTCTAGCCGCTGCCATAAGCTCGGACAGGAGTGTTCCCAACGTCGGTTGAGCGGAGCTCCGACGACGCTCCGCCGCATATACAATGGCCTTTACCCGCATTATCATGACACCTCGAGGCTCACGAGCAGCACGAGAAGGGGCAGCTCGTTTTTGTGTTTCTCCGCGTCTCAGCCGCCGCCGCAGGAGGTGGTCGCCTCAGGAGCTCTTTCTTCTGGCATCGTTCAAACTCCTGGTATGATCGCGCTGCAGGCGCGGATCCAGGCAAAGGAGGCGGCCGCCAGTTCGATTGCTAGAGCTGTCACACCCGCTCGTCAACTCTTGTCGGCTT